TTGGCGCGCCGTCGGTCACACATACGAGTGTTGTAATGTAAGCCCCAGGGAACCAGCTCATGAACTGATCCGAAACTAGATGCATCAGAACAAGCTGGGGGCAGAAGGAACGTCGGCAGTACCCCCATGTATCTCTTTGCAGCATTACCATATCATTTCTTTTTCCTTGAGCTCAAAAAGGTGTCATATGCCACGTGAAGATAAATTTAAGGGAAGGGCTCTTAAACAGTGACGAGAAAACTCAACCGCATACAAGCGGATTATACCCTTGACTTACTGCTAAGATATACGGCTAGGTTTAGTTCTGTCACCTCTACCCACACAATGAACACCGAAAGCCTCCCAGACAATCTGACCATCCCAGGGAAGACAATCCCCAGCTTCCACTGCCGTGTTGGTAGTAAGCACAATGATTGTCAGCGTCTACCGGCCAATACCTACGGGTATCCTGTGCCAGGCGTGCAGGAGCCTACTCCTACTTCGGTTATGGCCCGCGACTACTTTTTGAGGTACGAAGCAATTCTACTTGGATTCTGTATAATGTACCAACTCTGACCTTGGTTCTGCTTAGTGACCAGACGTGGGAGAGCATACTGGCCTATGGAGACTTTGATTACATAGTTATCGGTTCGGGCTTTACTGCTCTCGCCTTCATTCAGAAGGCCCTCGAACTCGACCCGTATGTCAAGATTCTCTGCTTAGAGCGTGGAGGTAAGTACCCCTTCCTGATTTATTGTACTTCGTGGTTTATATCATTGCCATCGTCTCATATTTTACTTTACCGCAGGCTTTTGGCTTCCTTCCCACTTTCAGAACCTACCAATTCCCTTCAAAATGGCTCTGGGAGGACCCTCTGAGACATTTCCCTGGACCCTCTCACGCAAGACCTTTGAAACAAAGGAGATTGTGTTTTGCCACGGCTCCTGCCCATTTTTCGGTGGCCGATCCACGTTTTGGTCGGCTTGGAGCCCGAGGCCGAGTCTAGACCTGATACGCGACTTTCCCGAGGCTATGAAAAAGACTGCTGAACACGAAAGGTTTTGGGAAGAGACCAAGAAGCTCTTGAATGTCACACGCGCATCTCAGATAGATGATGGCGTTTTCGGAAGCCTACAGACTGCCATTGATCGCATTCTCAAAGACTCGATTGGAAATATTCCTACTGCGGACTATGTTGAGTCAGCCCCACTTGCTGTGAGTTTTGCTATTGGGGCAGTACTGTTTGGCTATTAGGGCAGTAATCTACTTTTCTGGCTAATTAGAGCCTCTAAATTATTCTAGCCCGCTCGTCCCGTACTAGCTATAACTAATGTAGTTACTTTATACTCTATTTAAAATACTTAAACTATTTTTTATTACTTATATAAAATAATATAATTCAAAAATTATTAATTTTTATTATAATAATTAAGAAATTTTATTAAATTTGGATTTTTATTAAAATTATTAGAACTATTTTTAATTATAACTTTTTATTAACTAATTAACTAAGGTAAAAATTCCTTAGTATTATAAATATTACTAGCCACTTAGTACTTTATTTATTACGTTTTTTTAATATTAAGACGTTTTATTATTATTATAATATAGTCCTAAATAGTGTTTTATTATAGCTTAGTTATTAATTTATTTTTAGTATTATATTTAAATACTAAATAGTTATAATAAATATTTACTCTTATTATCTGCGGAGCTAGGTTTATAGCTTTATAAAGTAGTTTAGGCTAATTACGAAGTAGAGTAATAGTATTATTAAATAATAAAATATTATTTATAAGTATAAATATTAGATTTAAAATTTTTATATTATATAGCTACTTATATAGAATAGTAATTATATAGGGATTTGTAATTTATATTAAAGTATTATAAAAATCTTAGCGAGGTTAGTATATATTTTATAAATAAGTTAAACTAATATATTAAGGGCTATTTAAGCTATTAATATAAATAAATATCGTACTTCGTTAACTAACCTCTAGTTATTTTTAGGATTTTAAGGATTTTATAACTATAGAGTAGCTTATATTAGTTTATAAAGCGCTTATAATAAAGTTAGAAACTAAGTAGGTTCTTATTAATAAGTAATAATATTATAATGAAGATAATTTAGTATTAATAAGTTATAAAATCTAGAACTTTATATTTTATTTACTTAGTTATATTATTAAGCTATAGTTAATAATAATATTTAAAATAAATATAAGATTTTATAATAATTATAGTTTTAATATACCCCCTTTTTTAAGTAATTAGTATTTTATTAATTATTTAAAAAATAATATAAAAGTTAGCGTAGTTAATAATAATATAAAGTTTTAGGTTTTTATAAATAGTTTTAGTAAGCAAATTAGTATATATATTAAAGTTTTTATATTTATTAATAAAATACTAAGTTTATTAATAATAGAGGGGGATATACGTATTAGCTAAGTATAAAAAAGCTAAAATTTAATTAGCGAAATCTACTTAGAGCTTATTTAAAATAATATTAGAAAAGTTTTAAATTTACGTAAAGTACATATATTTATAATTAATAAAAGCCCGTAAGTATATATTTAAACTTAATAACTTTAAGTTATTAAATAGTAAAGGATTTATCAATACGTAAGATTTTATTAAATACCGTAATTTATAAGTTATAAAAGAGGGTAATAATAGCAGTTTTTTACTTTTTATAAACTAATATAAAAGCTTTAATAAATTCTTTATTTTTATTAACTTTAAACTTATTTTAAACTTTTATTATACTATTACTTAGCTATTTATATTTAATATTAAGGTTTATATTTATATTAATATAAAAAATATAAAATTAGAGTTAAATAATAAATAGGACCTCGAATGGGGCTAAGCATAGGATATTTTTAAAATTAGAAATAGCTATATGTAATACCTAAGCTTTTATTTTTTATTAAATTATATTAAATAATTATATAAAGAAGTTATGTAATTTATAGCGTTTTAATAAAATAATAATAAAAATATAGTTAAATAATAAGCTAGTATTTATAATATTAATAACTTAAAAATTATTATAGCTAGCTAGTTATAATAAGTATATTAATAAAAGTTAGAGCTACGAATACTAAGTAAATAGTATTATAATTATAAATAGCTTTTTTAAAACTATATTTATAAATTATAAAATAAATAAAGCTTTAATAATTAATTATAATTTTATTAAAAGGGTTCTTAATAAAAATAATTAAAAATAATTATAAAATCTAATATTAAATTAATTATTAAAGAAGTTATAAAAGTCTTTTTTTAAGCCTAATTTAAATCCGTACTATATATAAGTCTTATTTTTAAATATAGCCTTTATTCCTTAGGTTATTTTTAATTAATTTAATTTAAAATAATTATTTAATCCTTAAGTTATATTAAATTAATTTAATTTAGAATAATCTTTATTTTATTAATATCTAATTTAATTTACAATTCTTTTATTTTATATAAAGTAGTTATATCCCTATTTTATTTATATATATAATATACTATAGCCGCCGTAGTTAGTAAGCTAGCCTTTGGGTTAGTTATGTATATTAAGTCGTAATAAAGATAAAATATTTTAAACTTATTAACTTTATAAGTTATATATTATTAAAATTAATTATTTATAAAAAGCGCTTTTATATTTACTTATATTATAAGTAGGTTTATAATATAGCTTTAAGTAAATCGGGGTCTTTTTTATTTTATAAAACGTAGTAATAGAGGTTATAAGTCTAAATATTATAAAAAACTACTTAAATAGAGTTCTTATTAACGAGGCACTCGAGCTATTATTTTTACTACTTATTATAAATATTCTTTTATTTTAAATATAATAATATATTAGGTACGTAGTTATAAATTATTATAAAGTTTTTACTAAGCTTAATAATATTATATTTAAATAAGTTATTAATAAGAGCGGTCTAGTTAAAAGAAGTTAATAATAAGTAGTATAGGCCAATAGGTAGAGGGACGGGTTATAATTATAATCTTTTATTTTAATTTTAAATATTTATTTCTTTTTACTTTAAGCATAAGTAATAACTATACTTTACTAAGAGTAGTTAACTTTTTACGTTTTTAATTAATAGAGGTTAATAATACGGGTTTAGTAAATAATATTATAATTATATTATAAAATAAAGTACGTAGTATTATTATTAAAGTAGTTAGATTTATTATAATAACTAATTATAAAGCCGTAATTATAAGTAAATAATTAGAAGTTAGTTATAAAGTTATTAATTAAATTAATAAGTGCGCGGTTTCTAAATAAGTTCTTAATATATAAAAAAATATTAATAATATTATAAGAGTTTTCTGAATTGACTTTTAGTATTAAAATTTATAATAAATTTTATTACTAATTAACTATATAATAGTAATAACGTAGTAATAGAAGTTAGAAATAAAAACAATAATTATATTATAAATAAAAGTAAGTTAAAACAAGTTAAAATAAGCAAGGAAGCAAATAAGTAAGTAGAAATAGAAATAAGTAAGTAGAAATATAATTAAAAATAAAAGTAGTAAGTATATACTAAGTTAAAGTAGGAGTACGTATTTATAAAATAAATAATTTAAGCTTAGACCCGCGTAATAAGTGTAAAAGGTAGGCTAGGAAAGGTATATTAAAAATTAGTCAGTTTTAGTTAGTTACACGGGCTATATAAAAAGAAATTACTGCCCTAATAGCCAAATAGTACTGCCCTAATAGCAAAACTCCTTGCTATTGGACGACACAGCCCGAATTCTCGTCTGCGGTTTGACAAGTTTTCTGTCCCTGGGCCTCTTCTTGGCATCTTGGAACAACAGAGACAATTGGCCAAAGCTAACAAGGGAGCACCTTTGGAGATTAAGGTTGACTGTGCGGTGAAAACCATGGAGAAAGCTGACGACGATGATTTGTCCGCGTGATCGAAACCAGCAAAGGCACGTTATCGTGGACCGGTAACAAGACCAGAATTATCCTCTGCGCTGGAACGATTCCCAACGCCACCATGTTGCTTAATTCCTTTGAGAGTTGCCACGACACCGTGGGTAAGAGACTTACCGGCCACTACGACACACATATTTCAGCAAGATGCCCCATAAAGAACGTCAAGGGCTGGAAGGAAGAAACACTCAAGATCGCTGCTGCATACCTGGCCGGCAAGGATCCCAAGACTGGCCTACAGTATCACGTGTCGGTCACGGCCATTCATAGTCCTAACCCCAAGGATGATGCAGAGGATGCGGCTCGCGAATGTCCAGATTATGCTGCTGCGGCGACCCTTGATCAACTCACTGGCTCTGAGGACTACGTTGTGTTTGGTATGAGACGGTGCTTTGTAATGAAGATGATCGAAGCTAACCTGGTATTGTTTAGTCTGCTCGGCTCTTGGAGAGTTCAGTGAAAAGAACACTAAGAATCATGTCACTCTCAACGAAGGCACTGACCCGACTTGCAATGTCACCCTGCAATACACCTTGAGCGACGATGATCGTAGCTCTTGGGACGTGATGGACACGGCAACCTACAATACTATTATACAAATGGCAGGCGGCGATGAACACGAGTCAAGCATTGAATGGTGGGATGAGACAACTCATGGTTGGATCAAAAAGAGACCAGCAGTCGACACTATTCGAATCCCTGGTCTTGTTCACGAGTCAAGCACTTGCTTCATGGAACCCAAGAAGACTGGTGGTTCCGTGGATGAGCTTTAGTCCTTATGGGATTGAAAATGTTCACGTCACTGGAGCTGCCCTTTTCCCGACTGCAGGCAGTTGGAACCCCACAATGACCATGTGTGGATATGCGCAAGACTTGGCTTACAAGCTGCATGAGATGAAGCCTCAAGAGAACGAGCAAAGGGAATGATCGCGTCGCGGGGTGGTTTGCTGCGACATATCACTGGACAGGATCTTCATGTACCTTGAGGTCTGGTGCCGTGGAATAGGTGGGAGTAGACGGAGAATATTTGTGAGGCTACCTCGCCATGTCAGATGATTATTGGATACTATATCCATCCCAATACTAAGTACTTGGTCGCCGTTGACAAGGAAGTCGGCTTGCGGAGATTTCTAGAGGAATGAACGGTTGAAGTAGTGGATCTTCGCAGCGAGATCTAACGCTGAAATTCGAGCTTAGGCATGTTGATTGCTTTACGAGTGCTGTTTCAGTAGCGCTTCCGCGATGAGTAGTCTGGCGAGTCTAGCGTTCTGGGGCGCCTTCTCCTCAGTGGCAAGTGGTCTAGCAAGCTGAGATCTTGTCAGCCCTCCCGCGGTAAAATTGAGAGAAATCAATTGAACACAGTAAAGTGCTGAAGGAAATTCCTTCTTCGTTGTTAGGCTTCCGCGGCGGTGGTGGAAGAGGGTCTACGTGGTTGAACTCCGGGATCACAGTCATCACCTTCGAGAAGGCTAGCTGCCCAGACCATGACTCGTAATGATTAAACCCCCTCTTGACGAGGTACACGCGGACACACGTCCAGTTTGTGCACGTAGAATCGAGATGGTGGACCATGACGAAGATGGAGTTGACCAAACCCTCCCTCCTAGACCTGGATAGAGACCCAAGCGGGCAGTGGCTCGGCTACAATTTGCGAGTAGAGTAGATATAGGCGAAACGTTGCGGGAGGCTACGTGATGTTATACACGAAGTGGGTCTGAAAGAAGTCGGTAGTATCGCCGGTGAGCACTGCAAAATTATCCAGCTAAATCAAGGGCTTCATAAGCATAACCAATGATGAGGGGTGGACCCCATAATAAAGGGCGCCATTTTCATAGTCCCGACTGCTTGATTATCTCTATACCCTCGATCTTCATCATTAACGAGCATGGGAGCGTTTTGGGTTTCCTCGACCCCGGACATTTCCTTAAACTAGGGTAACTTTAAATTACGTCGAGACTCGTCGTTGACACTTCAATTGACCGTAAAGTCTGCGCTCTATGTTAAAGAAAGCCCCAACGAATTACGTTTTGTTAATACGCTCAAAGAGACTTGTCGTGGAAGATGGTAAAATTTCAAGAGCACGATGTACTTGCCAATGTGCCTGAGCTATGAAAATCAGACCTCAGCTCCCCATCCCTCGTCACTAGCACAATGTCAAAGACTGTATTCCATCCGCTTGCCGCCAGAGGGATCGTTTCAGTGAATTCCACAAAACCTCCAATATGTGCGCTGCCCATAGTCATCGGTATGCTCTCGATTTGAAGCCTGGGTAACATTATGTTCTGCTGATGAACTCGGTGTGTGAGCTCGAGATAGACATCGCCGCCAACCAATAGCAGATCCTCTCGAACCATAGCTGTCACACTTAACGTCATATTACCATCGGCTCTTGGCGTGATATCCAAGCAAGATCGATCTGTTGCATAAAGCAAACCATCAGTGATCGGGAAGCCACCTGTCCCGCTATTGTCAAAAGTCTCGACTTGGCCGGTGGAGAGGTCCATTGACTGTACGTTGAAGCCCGAAATTCCACCAGTTGGATCCAATTGGGCATCAAATCGAAACCAGAAGAAAGACTCTCCAAAGAAACCAATCGATATCCCACCCTGGAAACGATCTCTGGAGGTTTGGATGAGTGTTCGTTGTCCGTTGTGTTGAGAGATGTCAAGAGCAATATCGAATCCCTCCGGGTCGCGATTTGTTGTACGCACGCGGATTCGCCCTTTGAAGATGATCGCTGTGCCATCATTGCTGAGTTCTAAAGTGTCTATGTACGGTTTAACGTCGATTAGCTCTAGCGGGTCGCTCAGGGTGACGTGATCAGGAACCGTGTTGATCATTTGCTCGAATACGCCTGCACAGGTGGTTTGGAACGTTTCCTTGTCTGCTATAGCATGCATAGTGACGTTGCCGTCAACGCCGAAGATCCTCTTGTCCGAGTTCAGGGTGTCGTTATGATTAAACACCAAGGGATTGACGCCGTCGTTCTCGAGATACCCAAGGACCACGGCGGTGTCGAAGGCGGCAGGAGTGTTGTCAAAGCTGACCACGTTCGTATCGGACGCCTCACCGCCCGTCACGTGTTGATTTTCGTCTCCATGAACTCGGCCGAGTGTGTGACCACAGGCTACGAGCGCTATCATATCGCTGTCGTTGAATCCGGCTCGGTGAAACGTCGTCCTGTGACTTTCCAAAGACTGTTCGGGCTTCGGAACGCCAGGAGGCCCAGCCATGATCGCGTCAATGCGGCCGGCTCGGAAAGGGATTTTCTGCCCACCACACCCAGCTGCGGCGGCCACCACACTAAGCGCGAGCAGATCGGCGGCGCTAGCCCTCGGGTTGACAAAGCTAGCCATGTCGGCAAACGTGCGATTAAAGGCCCTTCCAAGGTTCTCGTCACGGTCTAGCTCGTACATGAGAGACGCATCGAGACCACCAGTGCCGGCTCCCTTGTCATAGGTAACAACATCGTGGAACGCGGCTCGGATCCATTCAGCAGAGTTCTGACGACCGACATTGTTTTGCCCGTTACCACAAGAGGCGACAACTAATATCCGTCAGCAAAAAGAACAAGCGAAATTTTAATATGGGGTCGATTCGTACTGCTGCTGAAGCCAAAAATAGTGGCCCCAGATTGAATTGCGAGAAGGTCTTCCAGGAAGTCATATCGCGAAGGCCAGACATATCCATTTGATTGCATTGAGGATAATGCCCATACTAGAATAGTGAGAAGTCGCGCCAGCCACATGATGGAGAAGGATTGATCCAAAGGGGTGTACACATCAGGATAACGCAGTGTGTAGGCTCACAATGTGCAGAATATCTCTCATTTATGTTTAAATGATATGTACTCAGACCTGTCAAGAAGCCAGCTGAACACCTATGTCGAGGAAGGTAGTGTTTGGATTTTGGAAGTGAGGAGATTGCTGTTATCATACGGAGTACATCGTTCGGAAGGACTTACAATTATAGAAGGTGGTACTGCCGAGCTTCGTATCACAGGCCCTTGGTCGTACTTCTCCCGGTGGGAGTCTCAACAGATTGGGTCTTGTCTGGCTTGGCATCGACCCACAGGAGATATCATATCGCCTATGGAACTAGGTGCATGAAGTTGCCGTAGTTGCTCACACCTAGTGCTTTTTTGTAGGCTTTTTTTTTGGTCACCGCATTCTCAGCCGCCGAATGCCCTCGCTGACCACTTCTCTAACAGGGTATACCCAAGCAACAGTAGAACATCACCTAAATTTTTCTCTTGAGGCATACCGATCTTGAGGATATGCGGACCTGATGGTGCAGGTGTATATGGCGCCAAGTCCTCCTGCTACAGCTTGAGGATTGACTCCCCAACAAGGCAAGGTAGTCAATACGAACGATTGCTCAAGTGCTCTGGCATTTTCAGCGCCATCTTCGAGATTGTAAGACTCGCAGCACCTGTGCGTAATAGTGGGGTCACCAGGCCAGCCTCCCAGATTACATTAGCAAATCGCCAAGAAGTAGTCGAGAGCGGTTTAGGAGCTATCTCTTTAGTGAAGAGAGACACTGGAACCGGGAAAAGAGTAATAAAGAAAGAAAGTTTCCAAGAGAGAAAGGGGTTGGGAAGGTGTGATCAGGTCATAAATCAAGCAACTATACGCATGGGCTTGCAGTACAACATCCGCCTTCTTATTGACGATGTTTTCGATATCGATTGGGTTAAAGGCATAAATTTCATCAACCGTGCACAGTCTCCCAAAGACCGGAAAGATATAATTTTCTAAAACTTACGTTTAAATTCAAGTAATATGCGCAAAGGTAAAATACCTTAGTAAGATCGGAAAATAACAGTGCTTTTAAAGTAAAATAAAAGAATTATTAGGTAGGTTACGACAGTTCTAAGTTGATAAATACCTTGCTATAAATTTATTAAAGTATTTATTTTAGTTATTCTACTTTTATTAACCGCTTTGGTAGTTTTTAGTATTTTTTATATAAATATTTATAATATTAATTTGTAATAAATAGATAAATATTTTAAAATAACTAATATTTCTATTAATATCTTATTAATATAATAAACTAGTATAAATAAGTTTAAATCAAATAATATAATTAAAAATTTTTAAAAAAGTATAATTCAGTATATTAAATAAGAATATTAAAGAGAGGTTATTATTAAATAAAATTAAAAAAGAAAATAAAGGGTAGTGTTTAATTATCAAAAAAGTAATTAATATATTATAATAAGGTTATTAATATTTTAATAATTAATAACGGTCATAACTAGTTATAATTAGTTATAAAGTTAATTAAGTATATAATAAAAACTTAATCTTGACTTTAATAACACTAGCTTGCCCATAAGGGCGAAGTTAGCCTCTAATAAGGCGGGCCGGACCCTAAAGGGACATAATTAAAATATTTCTAATGTTTGTTGATCTTCGGATCCTTGATTAGAAAATGGGGCAGGTCATTACATTATTAGATCCATAAGGTAGTATGAGAGAAAAGGTTTACGTGCGGTTGGGTATGGCCCTGATTTCGACACCGACGCTCTTAGTCATTCTCAAACAAATATAAAGATCCTGGCTTCTTCCGCGCGTCCTCTCCTACACTAATATATGTATTCCATGCCATTACTTGCAACTCTAGGTAGTCGTCAAAAATATATCTTGGTTCAAACCACTTATCTTCTTAGCCTGCCCTGCCGTCTCCGTAAAAGGTACGTACGGCGTATTCACGAGCGCGTCGGGAATTGCTACATAACCGCTGCTTTCTAACTCGGAATAAGAAACCCGCTTCCTGAAATCCTAATGGGCGGCTATCTCGTATAGAAAGTCGAGATTTACCGAGATCTCAAGGTCAACCTTTCTTTTGGCCGCGCATCGCTCAATACTTTTACGGTAGTATGCGTTAGGGCCTTAGCAAGCAGCCTCCCACTGTCGCCGTCTTGAGTCGGCCTCAAGGTCATCGAGGACGTCTTAGTAGTTTGATACAATGTAAGCTATGATAACATAGTCCATCAAGTCGGGCCGACGCCAAGCCAGTTCTCGGAGGGTGTTTTGATGGGGAAAGTGAGGTCATCAGAAGACCAAAGGCAGATCATCTCCATGGGGTTTTCCGTGAATGCAAGAGAGGTCATTACCCATGATTTACCGGGCATTAATAGCCTGTTGGAGCACTTTCCACTCTCAAGAATTAGATAGATCCTTTAGGCACGTCTCAACCCAACGCGCAAATGGAGGGTAAAAGTATGTCCCTCGAATCACAGCTGATATCTCATTGGTGATACGTAGAGGACGTCCAAGTCACAATTACCAGTCGATGTTGCCCTCTCAGGCAGTCATGATGATTAGTACATCCTCCTTGGTCGTAGGCAAGTCATTTGGGAGTAATGAGTAGAAAAGAGAAGTATGTTCGTCCTTTAGCGTTTAGCATACGCTTTGATCGCCAGTCACGGCGGCTAGAATGCCGGCAGCGATACTTATAGAGAATAGAAGTGTTAGATTACGAAGGCAGAAAGGGTAGATTTAGGTAGGTAGGTAGGTAAGTGGTTAGGTAAGTAGTCGGGGCCCGTACCGACAGACCCTTTTACCTACTTATATTTATAAAAAGATTGCGAGCTCTATTTATAAACTTTTTCTTTTTTATATATTTAATAAATAATTTATTATTATTAACCTTATTATAATTAAAAAATCTAACTTATTTTATAACGTACTTATATATTACGGCTAGCTAGTTATAATAAGTATATTAATAAAAGTTAAGGCTACGAATACTAAGTAAATAATATTATAATTATAAATAGTATTTTTAAAACTATATTTGTAAATTATAAAATAAATAAATTTTTAATAATTAATTATAGTTTTATTAAAAGGGGTTTTTAATAAAAGTTATTAAAAATAATTATAAAATCTAATATTAAATTAATTATTAAAAATATTATAAGAAGTTTATTTTTAAGTTTAGCCTAAGTTTATATTATATATAAGTCTCGTTTTTAAATATATCTTTTATTCTTTAAGTTATTCTTAATTAATCTAATTTAAAATAATTATTTAAACCCTAAGTTATATTAAATTATGTTAATTTAAAATAATTGTTATTTTATTAATATATAACTTATTTTATAGTTTTTTATTTTATAAAAAATAGCTATATTTTTATTTTATTTAAATATATAATATATTATAATTATTATGACTAGCGGGCTAGTTTTTAAATTAATTATATATATTAAATTATAATATTAGCTTTTTTTTTTAAAAATCTAATCCTATAAACTTATAAATAAATAGTTATAACTTAAGTTAGGGTTCGTTAAGTTTATTTTTATAATATCCTAATATTATATTAGGTCGTATTTAAAAATCCGATTTTTATAAAATTTATTATAATAGGATTAAATATAATTACTAAGTTCTTAATATTTTTATAAAATATAAAGGCTACGACGTAATATTATATTCTCTTTATTTTTAATATAATTATATATATAAAATAAATTTATTTAATTCAAAGCGTTATAAAAAAGTATATTATTTATAGTTTAATAAATTATAATAATAATAACGTAATAAGTATTTATAAACTTCCTCTCGTTTTTATTATTTATTATAATACTAATTTATTAAAATAAATTATTATTTTTTTTTTAAAAAAAAAAGGAGAGTATAAAAAGTAAAAGGTTAAAAAGGCTTTAAAAATATTATAAACTTAGTTAGTAATTACTCTAAGTTACTTATTTTATTTAAAAAAATAAAAGCGGGTTTTAAAAAAATATAATTTAGATTTTATTTATTATAAAATATAGTTTATTAAAAAGTAAAAGGCTAAAAAAGAATTTTTAAAAATATAAAAAATATATATTATAAAAAACTTAGTTACTTAGGGTATTTTAAATAAAACTAATTAATCTTTATTTAAAACTAGCTTTATAAACCTAGGGTTTTTTATTATAAACGAGCTTTTTAGGGCTTAATTATTTTTTTATAATTATTAAAAAGTTATTATATATTTTAAAAATTATTATATAGTTCTTATATATTTTTTTTATATTTGTAATTTTTTTTATTTAATTAAGAATTCTCGTATTTCGTTCTTAATTTTATAATTAATAATTTGTTTAATTTTATATTCTAATTCGTTTAGTTCTATAATAATATAATCTTTTATATATAAACCCTTAGGTACTAATTTAAAAAATAAAATATAAAAAACTAAATAATACTTTATTATATTTAAAAATCTTAGCTTATAGTTAATATTTAAAACTTTTTAAATAAGTTTAAAAAATTTAAGCTTTTTATAATTTAATTTATTATTTAATCGTTTTATTTTAATATTATAATAAAAAAGGTAAGTATTATCCCCCTCTTTTAAAATTAATCCTTTAATTTTTAATTTATTTACGTTTTTTTTTATA